ATTGGGGCAGGGGTAGGGGGCAGGACCTTTCTTGAACTGGTCCATCCTGAGCCATGAGACATTTTACAGTGCGATGACCAAGGCCTAGACCAGCCTGTACACCCTCAGCCCCATTGATGCCCGTAAGTGGGCAACCAGTGACTGCGTTATTTCCCACTTGGTCTCAATTTGGAGACAGGTGAGTGGAAGTCAGGAGTGGGGATGAAGCCTGGAAAGCCAACCCTGCTGAGCCCTCTGGCATCAAGGAAGTCAGGACTTGCTATCTCCTTCAATAGTCTCCTTTCCACATCAGCTGTCATACCATGAGGTCTACTCCCCTTGGTTTCTCGCTCCTCCCTTGTGCTCACCATTGAGATTCCTGACCCTTCTCTCCCCATCGCCCTGTGTCCTGGACTTTCAGCCTGGCGACTGCTTGAACGACCAGGTTAGCTCCAGTCAGTGAACCTTCAAAGACTACAGGTATTGAGAGAGATTGGTGGGCAGAGATGAGGAATGGGTGAGAATACGATGCCTTCACTGCTGACACCTTGAGTGGTGGGGCAGGAAGCCACAAGCCCTTTGATACCCCCAGCCAAGATTGACATTTACTACCACCAAAAGAGGGACATGAACCAATCAAATCTCACTGCAGAATCTACAACAGAAACATGCAATTATACAGCGCCTCTAACATGGTAAAACATCCCAAGGAGCTTCAGAGGGGCATTATTGAAGCCAATCTGGCAGCAATGTGCATAAGGTGACAGCAGGACAGGTGGAAAATAGGAGAGGAGATGGAGGCAAAGAGATTTAAAATCATAAGAAATTGGAACAAGAGAAGGCCATTTAGCCCCTCTAGTCTGCTCTGCAATTCAACAGGCACTCTTCATGTCCTTAGAATCCCTACAGTGCAGATAGAGGCCACTCAGCCCATCAAGTCTGCACCCACCCTCTAAAGAGCATCCTAACCAGATCCAGCCTCCAACAACCTCACATTTACCATGGCTAATCTACCTAGCCTACACATCCCCAGACACTCCAGGGTAATTTAGCATGGCCAATCCACCTAACCTGCATACCTTTGGACTATGGGAGGAAATATGCCCAGACACAGGAAGAACGTGCAAATTCCACACAGATAGTCACCTGACGGTGGAATCGAACCCCGGTCCCTGGCGCTGTGAGGCTGTAGTGCTAACCTTTGTGGCATCCTCTTTCCTGCCCTTTCCCATAAACCCTCGATTCTCCTACTGATCAAGAATTTATCTATCTCAGCCTGAATTTAGTGAAGGAATTCCAGAGCTTGTGTTCTGGCTGGCTGAAGAAAGGGTTACAAAAAGTGCAGGGAGGGGTGGGGAAGGACCGAGATGTGGCATTGACCAAGTACCCAGAATTGAAGAAGGACAAGGATCTCAGAGGCTTTTGTAGGGCCTGGAGTAGCTATCAGTCTCAGGATTGCTCATCTATTTGTCTATTCACCAGTGTAGTACGTTTCTGCACACTTCAGATGTACAACTGAACAAAACTGAGAAAAAAAAACGTTTATGAGCTTCATTTTGCCAATATTACCAGAGAAAAGATTACTTTAATGACTGTCAGTTATTTCTGTTGGTCAGAGGCGTGAAGTGAACAGAATGTCCAAATGAATGGCAATCCATCATGAACATATTAAATGGGCCTATTTCTTTCAAAGATCAGGAACAGTGAGGTATTGAGCTTCAAAGTGACTCAGACAGATCGGAATGATGGGCTTTTCTGATTGACACGGGACAGGCTGGTTTTAACACACTGCTCCGTTGCACAATAAATCTGGAGTCAAATCCAGCCCAGATGGAGAAGGTCCCTTTGTTGCAAGGATCTTAAAAACAAAATGGGTTCTGTCAGTCTCAATCCAATTACAGTAGGCACAAGTCCATAGCAGGAAACGTGCCCTCGCGTTAACCACTAATTGACAGTAACTCAAAAATCAATGACACCAAATGTGAACATTGGCATACCTGCCCACTGCCCTGAGAGTGCATTGGACATTGTTTTGAATAGGACTGTGACTAAAGTTCTACTGGGGAAGGATGGCTAAATTCCCCACTGCTCTTAAATTAGGCTGTAATCGACCTTGGAGAGTCTGGTGCAAAGTGAAACTGCTCTTCAATTTTCCTGCAGGAACACTGTGCCTCACCACAATCCACACAATAAGACTCATTTCAAAAGAGCCTTCTCACGTATGTGAGGTTTAAATCACAAAATGCATCGGGTTTGAAACTATGCCCTACTATATTTTATATACTTGCATAAGATTCAAACAAAGCATAAAATGAGAAGTGGTCACACAAGCAATCAAGCTAATTTCTTTCACAGACTATGCAATCATACAATTATCACCAGATCCAGCAGTGAAAGAGGCCACTGGGCCCATCATGTATATGCTAGCTTTATGAAAGTTTTATCCAATTAGTCTCATCCCATACTCTTTCCCAACAGTACTGCACAGATTTCCCCTTCATGTATTCAATTCCCTTTTGATACTTATTAGTGAATCTGTTTTTATCCTTTCAGACAATGAATTCCAGATTATAACAACCTATTCAATAATTATTTTATTCATCTCACTGTCATTTCTTCTGTAGGACATTAAATATGTTCCTTTGGGCAGGAATTTACTTTTCCCTGCCCTAGGCATGCAATGTCATTACTTTTCACACTCACTGTATCAATTCATTTCAAACACATGCGCATCATATCATCATGGTTTCACAGCATCTAATTGAGGGTATAAATGTCTCACACTCCATCTTACTTCAGGTCATTTGAAGCATAGCGCTCTGCTCTAATCTGATGGTTTCATGTTAGCCCAGACACTTGTGTGTCTGTGAATCTAACATTTTCACATAATAGTTGTCATAAATGTCTGTTGGATTCTTCAATACTATATAACCATGGCCATTTTGTTATATTATAAAGGATAACGTAAGTGTTGCCACATCAAATAAAATACCCTTCTGGAGATAAACTCACTTTTACTCATGTAAAAGTCTGAGGTGACTTTGATATCGCCTGCTCACTCAGCCTTGACTTTTAAAGGTTGGAGTTAAGGCCTAGAGTGACCTCCTCAACCTTGCCACCATTGGCGGTCTTAAGTGGCTATGGATTGACTACATGTTTTTCAGACAGTGGGAGGCATATCAGGTCAGTGGGAAACCTGACTAAATAGGCACTCCTATCCATTAAAAAGTACACACCTTCCACCCTGCTCCTGGTTCTGCTTTATCACAATTGGCTGCATTGTAGGCAATGCCCAGAGCTCCCATGGCACTGCTGGGTATTCAGGTGGCTGGCAAGTTCTCACAGGTGGGGCCTTCTCTCAATTTGGAGTGGGGAGGGTGGGTAGAAATCCTGCCTTCCATCAATTAACATTCCTAGGAGTGGTAAATAGCTACAAGATAGCTGTCAGGAGAGTGAGTTCCTATTTTGTTCGCAGGGTGGGAAACATTACCCAAGATTACCAACCTTTTAGGTATTGGAAAAAGCTTCCCCTTACGTGCTTTATCAATAACCATCATATTTTGGGACACCTCCTTATAATTCCCCCTTCAACTCTCTATGCCCGAAAGACAACCATAACCTTTCGGTCTCCACATAACTCTATCGTTTGAGTAAATATCTACTGACTCTCTCTAATATCCTTCTTAAAGTATGGTAGCATTTGTCAGAATACTTTAACTGGGTCTTAAACAGAGTTAAGGTTTAACATTATTCTTTGCTTTTGTACCTTTTGCCTCATCCATTAGCTCAAGAATCTCCTATAATTTTTTAATAGCACTATCACATGTCATCCTGCTTCTCAAGATTTGTGTGAAAGTATCGCCAGCCCTAAGTCTGTTTTTGAATTATATCCTTTATTTTACAAGGCTCTCCCGATTCTCCTTACCTGCAAAATACTAATCACTTCACACTTCTCTATGCTATATTTTGCCTGCCAAATGACCATCTCTCCCATCAGTTTGTGTAAGTCTTCACTCTGAAGTTTCTTATTTGTTTACTGCATTTCCAAATGTCATGTCAAAGGTAGACTTTCAAATTATACCCAGGCTTAAGATATTAATATATCCAAAAACTCCACTGATTTCACCCTGGCAGGCACTATGTATGCGTCTCTCCAGGCTGTTATCAATACCAGACCCGAAACATTAATTCTGATTTCTCTTCATAGATGCTGCCAGACCTGCTGAGATTTTCCAGCAATCTCTGTGCTTGTTTCTGTTCATCTGGCTTTTTGTCACTCATGCAATTTCATATTTATGTTGTGCCCATACCTTTAAACACACTGTACCATTTTACTAACATGTCTGTTATTTCACATCTTGTTAAAGATCTTTTGAACGTCCGTATGCACAAGATCAACTTCATCAACCCATTGTTTCATGAAAAGCCACTAACAAATTGGTCAAACATGCTTTTACTCTAACAAATCTGCAATGTCTTTCATTTTTAGCTGATATTTTCTTTCAAATATCAATACATCTGGCTCTGCATTATTGCAACTTTTTTCCCAACATTGGCAGTTGCCAGGTTTATCTGTCTTGTCATACTTAACAATGCTATGATGCTTACAATCCTCTGAAAAGATTCCCATTTCAAAGAAGGATTGAAATATTTTGGCCAAATTCTCCAAAATTAGCATCTTAACTCCCCTTTGCAACACAGGGTGTATCCCACTTGGGCTGGATACAGACAATTTGAGTCTCTTCTCTTTATCTATTTTCATCTTTTCCAATTTTTACACAGACCTAAGTGTTTTGTTATAATAACTCTCTGCTGTAGAGCAGTAAAGGAAGTCAGTTCAAACATGGTCAATCTACCTGACCTGCATATCTTTGGATGATGGGAGGAAACCAGAGCACCCAAAGGACATCCACACAGACATGGGGAGAATGTGCAAACTTCATACAGTCACCTAAGGCTGGAATTGAACCTGGGTTCCTGGCACTGTGCCACCCATATAAAGTCACAACAAGGCTACTCACTTGCATATGATAGCTGTACGCTTAGCATTCGAGAAGTTCTCCAGTTGCAAAGATTCCTGTGTTAGGAAGGCCACGGTGAGGTGAAAGTAATTGTTCCAAAGCTGTGGAAACAAATTGAAGAATGAATTGTATAAATATAGGGCTTGGGCTAGATTTCCCAGCAAGCATTACCCCACACTCCCCGCCACTGAGTCTGTTTGAGAATCCTGAACCCACAACTCTCAGCATTTACACGGAGCGTATAGCAAAGTACTTCTGCCACTGCCCAGTTATGGATGGCAGGCGGGCCAGGGCTGTAACAGGGCCTGCAGTAATGCCTGGCCAGCAGCCTCATTGGGAAAGCTGAATGCTGTTGACAAGATGGTAGGACCGAGAAGATGCCTCAAAGCCTTACCTAACACTTACGAAAGGCTCCTTGTTCAAGCACAAATCAACAGGGATCATAGCTGCGAGGAGCCTCAGTGTGGGGGAGGGCTGGGGCTTCTTTCTGAGCCTGAATGCCCTGTGGTGTTTTTTCTCACTCAACATCATATGGCCCTCGACACCCTGCCCCTAGATCAGTGCCAGGCTCGAGACAGAGCCAGAAGAGGTGGGGTGGGGGGATGGGGAGGTGCAAGGGGTTTTTTCTCATGTGGTTTTATACTCACACCCACACTTTTGAGTTCAAGACAGACACTTTGAGGAAAAGACAATGTCGAGAACTCTCTTCAGGCTTGCGTTTCTTTGTGCCATTGTTAATTACATATTAATATTACACATTATTGAAAGATCATTCCTTAAATGTTAACACATAATGCTAGTCGGTATACCTTTTTTGCATTTGTTTTTAGCATTTACACAGCCACGGTACAGGCTTCGACATATCTCTCCATGTGCTTTCCTCTCTTGTGTCCAACTCCAACCATACTGTGTTATTTATGCCCAATGAGGAGCAGCTCCATGACCTCATCACAACATCATTCCAGTACCCTGAAGCCTTTGCACAACATTAATGCTGAGGCCAATAACCTCACCTTTAAGAAGTACTTGGAAGAACAACTTGAAATATCACAACATTCAAGGCAAATAGCCTTCTGCCGGAAAGTAGGAACTAGTCTTGGCAGTAGTGTATTTTTGTCAGTGTAGGCTTGATGGGCTGAAGGACCGCTTCTGTATTGTATGATTCTATGATTCTAAAATGGGTGAATGTGTTGACAGGAAAGGTCCATCGCTGAAAGGAAGCTGTCCTAAGTCATTCCATAAGACCAGAAGATGTAGGAGAGAAGTCAGCATTCAATCCGCTTCACCATTCAATGAGACTAATAACCTTCAATTCCACTTTCTTACTTTTTCCCGATAACCCTTAATTCCCTTACTGATTAAAAATCAGTCTCGTCTCAGACTTGAATACACATAATGACCCAGCCTCAACAGCCCTCTGTGATACAGAATTCCATAGACTCACTATCCTCTGAGAGAAGAAATTTCTCCTCATCTCTGTCTTAAATTTGTGACTCTACTCTGAGATCATGCCCTCTGGTCCTAGACTCTCCCACAAGTGGAAACAACCTTTCTGCATCTACCCTGTCAAGTGTCCAAAGAATCTTGTGTGTTTCAATAAGGCTGCCTCTCATTCTACGATACACCCCAACCTACTCAACCTCATTTCATAAAACAGTCCCTCCATACCTGTTATCAGCCCGGTGAATCTTTTCTGCACTGCCTCCAATGCCAGTATGTATTTCTTTAGATAAGGGGCCCAAAATCATTTAGCGTATTCCAGCCGTGGTCTGACTCGTGCCACGTATAAGTTTTAGCAAAACCTCCTTCTCTTATACTCCATTCCCTTTAACATCAAGGCCAACATTCCATTTGTCTTCCTTATTATGTGTTGAACTTGGATGCTAGATTTTCATGATTCATGGACAAGACTCCTAAATCCCTCTGTTCTGTCGCTTTCTATCTATAATTTCTTTCATTGTTTTCTCTTGGAAGCAAGACACCAATTTCAATGGTAGCCTATCACTGGAAGAGTCAACTAGAGGTGAGATATATCCCCCAGGGTTTCAAAGAATACCTCCATCCTCACCACCACTAAAAATCTGGACTTTAATTTTGTCATCGAAGATAAAGATAAAAAAGGAATGTCTTCTCTCAGAAGTAACAAGGTGCAGAGCTGGATAAACACAGCAGATCAGGCAGCATCAGAGGAGCAGGAAAGCTGACATTTCGGGTCTGGACCCTTTTTCTCCAGACCCAAAATGTCAGCTTTCCTGCTCCTCTGATGCTGCTTGGCCTGCTGTGTT